GTAAGCAATACGGAGAAAAACATGCAAAAAGTATAAAATTGTAGTAATAATAGTAATACCAACTAATATAAAATAGCAGAGTAATAAATAAACGACAGAAAGGGTGACACCATAAAATACAGAAAGATGAACAATGAAAGGGTCGGTTTACTGTGCTAATTACACAGTAACTTATGTGTTTCACGTCTAACAGAGTCATTCGTCACATAAAGTACGGGCTAAATAGGGTATTGTAGAATTTATGTACTAAGTGGTACGAGCATATAACTTTTTATATTGACTTCTCGTCCTACCTGTTAAGATACAAGGGGATAGTTGTGAATAAAGGGGGTGCAGAGGGTCTGACAGTACAGCCTTTGCCCATTTTGTACAGGAATTTATGTGTCTTTCGACTAATGTATTGGCGAGCTCACGAAGTGGCAGACCACAAGCCCTACTCACAGCGTTTATTACTCTTTGTAATATGATATAGGCTTTTTTGAGAAGCCCAGGAAAGATTAATGGAGAGCAGTAGAGTACAATAGGTAAAATACAGGAGTTTAAAAATTGCAAAACTAAAGGTTGGTTGATACCTGATTGTCTTAACTTTTTAATGTAGAAGATAAGACGAAACTTTTTCTTAGAGATAGATAAGATATGGGATGACCATGAAAGGTCAGAGGAAAGAACTAATCCAAGGTATTTAATGCTTGATTTGGTTTCAATTTCCATGCCATCTATGCTACAGGCATCATGCGAACTAACTAGTTCATGTAAGTCACGTCGATGCTTGAAAGTAAAGTTAACTGCCTGACATTTGGAAGTAGTTAACATAAGACCATTTGACTTAGACCACTTGTTGATGTCCGACAGAAAGCTATTAAGTTTGGAGCAGTCAGACTCGTAAGTGGTAGGCAGTGATACAGTCAGATCATCTGCATATTTGACAAAGTTAGTTTCGTTTAAATGAGGCAGGTCGTGTAGGAAGAAAGAAAAAAGAAAAGGAGAGAGGACGGCACCTTGAGGAACACCGGATTTTGTAAGCGAGGTAGAAGAAGATTTGCCATTATATACAGTATACAGCATTCTATCAGAAAAATAGGAATGCAACCAACTCTTAGTTGGTGAATAAGGCTGATAAAGATTTAGAATACTCCACAGAAGTATGTATACATAAATGTATGTATTAGAATGGTTCAGGGGTTCTCTAACTGAAATCAACTCATCGTCTAACTTGATCTCAGTCAGATCATTATAAACACATCAATCAAAAATGTTTGGTACCTTCCCGTGTTTGTTAGAAATCACGTCTACAAAGCAAGCCAAAATTTGATGTTTAACTTGATAAATATATATACGAAATATTTTAGTTAACATTCCTATTATTCACATGTACGCTAAAATGGCAAAATAAATATTTAACAGTTTCAGGTTAATGTTCAAAGTTTCAATGATTTGTACTATAATAAGAATTGTTTAAATAAAACAAATGCGAATATATATATATATATATGCATAAATAGCAGAAGAAAAGTTTGACATTCAAAAACATATATATATGTATATAATTTTAATTTGAACACCATACATTAGGTTGAAGCATTTTAATCTCTTGCTTTCGTAAAAGATATCAAAAATCACATAGAGAATAACATTTCTAAGAATTTAAAATAGTATTGATAGTATTAACTGTCATTGGAATGTTCTCAATGCATGAATGATCCCTTGTGTGTATAGAATCAAATATACATGTGTACATATATATATATGGGTCATTTTTTGTGGTCAAGCCATTTGTCATAAGTTCTTGTAAGTTCAAACATTTTTTATACGATTAAAAATGAAAAAAGAAAACATTTAGTAATAATACTTACTGATTACTCTTTTGTAATCAACTACACACTTCATTCGTTAGTGTTTTTGATAAGAGGTCTGTTGTTGTGTGACTGAAAAATTCTATGGTAAGCTGTCTGACTGCATACCACTGAGTGGCATGCGTTTGAGTTCTTGAAAAACATGGCATCAGATCTTTCAAGGATAAGAATACACCCCGATGATGATGATGAGTGTCAGCTAGCTACGAAACCTAGTCACTTGGTTTGGCAATCTTATTGTAAATCTGACTGATACACTTCTGTCATGACTAACACTAGTGATGAAGGTGGTTAATAATTTTGTGTATTCAATGGCACCTTTTGTGTGTGTGTGTGCTCATGTCACCAAAGTAACAAGACATTTGATGCTAGTAGAATTAAAATGAACATTTAGGTACTGATAAATTGCAAGCGGAGCCTGATAATATATCTTTGAGGCTAAGTTGCAAAGAATCTATAGCCTTCAGTCAGTACATGAAGTGATCACTCTTTCGAGGAAGGCATTACTTGAAGATGTCTACTCCCAAGAACAACAAAGAACACCCTAACTCTGTGATGGAGACCTTCTGGTCAACACTCGATAAAAGAGAGTATCAAGCTCTCTGAAAAGACATTGATTGTTGTTATATTAAGATTAGGATTCTAATATCGCCCAATGTACTTCAGTGACTCTTAAGATAAACTGTCGTATCTGGTCACTTCTGTGTGCATTAAACAATTCACTTCATATCGTGGAGCGAGATATGTGGGTCGCCCTTGGCACTTATGTTATCCAAAACAGGCAAAAAGCACTACCTGGCTTGGCTATAGAAACGTCACAAAGGTTCAATAAAGAGTACTGAAGTGGGACATATGCATATTCAACACTGACCACTCAAAATGTCAGCAAATCTTATTCACAGTTATCTACAAAGTCATAAAAAGCCCAGCGAAAGTGGTTTACCTCCGGATACTTTGCATTGCCGAAGAGGCCTTAGCGAGTTGGGATGAAAAACTCTGAATTATGCACACAGAAGAGACATCTCCATCCTCTTCTTTACCAGTTTGGGTATAATTCTCAGCTCAATATTTTGTATATCTTTGCATGAAATGTTTTTGACATTATTTTAATCAACCTTTTGTTCACTGTCTTCATCTACTGCATAATTTACTTCGATAATTTAGCAAAAATATTCATTCAGATATCTATAAAACACAACATAATCGAGCAAAGAATATTCTTCGATAATTGTCTCCAACCTTAGTTTAAAGGTAATAAACCTCACCTCTCCTCCAAAAATAGACCCTCCACTGAACTGTTTGCTTTTATTTCCATGTCTGAATGGAGATTTTTCGTGAATATGGTAATACTTTATCATCATCTCTACTCGAAGACAAACAGTACTTATATAATACAGCACATAGAATTCTCAGCATTTGTCAGAGTATTGCATGTAATTAACTCAAAATATAAATACAATTTACCAAAGGAGTTTGTTCAAATTTACATTAGGAATAAAGTCAACAATAAGCAAAGTACAAAATGAGAAGAATTACTGTAATAATAATAGTAGTAATAACAATAACAGTGGGTTTGTTCTAACACAGTCTTGTCGATAAAGTATGGAAAGTTTTAGCACGTCATAGAGTATTGAATCTATTGTTTTCCTGATATATTGCATTGTGAAGCAAAAAACAAAACAATAACAATCATTACAGACCTTAAATAATGTTTACACTTATGAGGAACTAAAAAATAATAGAAAAATAGTGTGAGAATTGTAAATAGAAGAAGAATAATAACAATAAAGCTTGTTAGTTAGTTAGTTAGTTAGTTAGTTAGTTAGTAAGTTAGTTAGTGGGTAGGTTCGTCCCTGACACTATTTTCGTCACATAAAATACGTGCAAAATATGGTATCTTTGAATTTTTATACTTAAACGTACATGCATAAAATCTATTGAAATGACTTCTTGTTTTAACTCATGCGACACAAGATGAAAACTGCGGTATACGTATGAAATTTGGGCACTGTGGTACAGTATAAGTCCAATATGGATAAGATTTTATTTTGATAAGTTACACAATGCGGTACAGTAATATTTAATGATAATATTTAGAGCACGGATTACTGCCCAAACTGTGGGTAGAGTGGATGCTCACAGTCTGACAAAACTCCTTGTGCAAATTTGTTGCATGAAATCTAGTACCTATCGATGATGATGCCAACGATATGGTCCAATGAGATACCGCCACTCGCTCTACTGACTGACAGTCTTCAGAGTTCTACGAAGTATGATATTGTCTTTTTAAGTAACCCAGGAAAGGATAAGGGTGAACAATGAAGAAGAATAGGTAAGATGCACGGGTTGACAGATTGTAAGAGGAGGAATTGAGTTATGCCTGAGTGCCTTAACCTCTTAATGTAAAAAGTCAGAAGAAATATTCTTTTAGAAATTGTTAAGACATAGGAAGATCAGGATAGATCAGAAGGAGAAATAAGTGCAAGGTATTTAACGTTGAACTTTATTTCCATATCACTATCATCAATTTTACAATGGTAATGGGAAATAGCAGTCTGACATTTGTAAGGATTTAGTTTAAGACCATTAGACAGAGGCCATTTGATGACTCTTGATAGAATGCTGTTCATCTTAGCACAGTCTAACTGCGAGGTAACAGGCCTTGAAACAATTATACCGTTACCATACATAACAAAGTTCATTTCACATAGTAGTTCTTGCGGTAATACCCTTCGAAGCTACTTCAATTTTTTCTGTGATTAAAATGAAGTTGATTAACTGGAGTTCGCCAGTGGTTCAGCAGTAGAATATTCATCAACCACTCATGTGGTTCGGGGATCGACCCCCAACCAGCGGACTTCTAAACATCGCTAAGCCAGCTGCAGGGTCGGTGAAGTGGGAAGGTTGGAAATCAGACTAGAGACCCCACCGCGGAGAAATAAAACCACTGCTACCGCAAGCTTCAAAGCTCTAGCTTGGAGAACTACGTTCTTCTTGACCTGTAAAGGAATAAAGTAACGGTATTAAATACTATATTACATGTATACTTTATGTATATAATACTATATATATAAATATATTTTATATTGAAAGTGTAACTTGGTAGCTAATCTATTCCTTCTTTTATTATTCCATTTTCCTCATTAGAAACAATATTTAAGCAGAAATCCTTTGGGTACAATACCAGTACTGACAAACGATGTGGTATTTGCATTTCACGCATTCATTATATCCTCATTAACAGCATTTCAAATCTTAATTTATGATGTAAGTAGAAAAAGACATTTTTAAAAAATACATTTTTGTATAAAATTTTTAATGTTAATTAGTATTATATCTTGATATTATTATTTGCTTCAAGTTTAATTAATTACGCACTGATACTCGTCAGAGAACCATTGAAGGACAATAGAGAGTACCGGCGACCTGTTTTTTTTCCAAGTCTGGTACTTATCCGGAGTATTTACCCACTGGGTTTTGAACCTAGGACCTTCTGGTTACAAGACCATCCAGCTACCGGAACCCGACTAAATGTCCAGCATACAAGTTCTAACTCCTATCAGATAGTGATTTTAGTGCGACTAGCACCAGCCAACGTTATCGGTGGGTATTTGTCTTCTCTCTATACTGGATGAACCTCACTAGTCAGGACATCTCACTAGAATTCCAGGCAACTTTGTCTTACCACCAGTAACCAGCGAGCATCAAATTAATTTTCAAGAGGATGGAACAACTGTCCAGTCCTTGTGTTCAATGGTTCTCTAAATGATATCAATCCATGTTCAAACCTGAAATGGCTACAAACAAATTCTTGGATTTTAATATTGTTTATGTCATAGGTTCTGAATGTGATGATGGGCTCAGAAGCACATATGAATCCTGTTTGATTCGCTGCTATCACATTCAACTGGCTCTACTACTTACTGCTCATAAGCTTTCATTTCGTCTTCACATCAGGTGACCGTTAGACACCGAACCAGTCCGGGGCTCATTGCATGTAATATATTACTTGAATTTCTCCTCATCAAATGTCTAATCCATCTCGTTTTCCTTCCTGATACAGTTTATAACTGTTTGTCCTCTCCAGCTGGCCATCTAATCTTCACTATCTAGTAAAGGCAGATGTTGGCAAAAAATTAACAGAAGTATGAGGGGAATGTTAACTCCATACTAGTAGTGTTAATAATTTTCATCTTGTTTCTTGTAATAAATGTGATTTATCTTTAAAATGATTTCAGGCGACTGAAAGCCTGTCTAACTTTCTTTACTCAATCTTAGCTTGCCGTGATACTGTCATCCGAGTCTCCGGTAGTTGAAAGAGTACTGCCCAAATGTTTGTTGTTGTTGTTGTCTCTCCGGTATCTTCATCACTTTTGCCTTCCATAACTCCTTCTATCAGCTTGTTGATTTCAGCTCTTAAATCTGCGACTTTGCGAGACACATGACATAAATCGTCAGTGAAATTCAGATTATCTAGGATTTTCTCCCCCCCCCCCCTCCAAAGTCTCCTTATCCATGATCCGTTGCTTGATTCAGTTCATCCACAATGTCGAATGTTAACGATGATAGTAGGTAGTCCTAATTTACGCATATCTTCACGTCAAAGGCTTTACTGAACTTTCCTTTGTGAATTGCTTGGCACTTAGCACCATCATACAATTGTTTATATTGCTTTCTGGTACAGCGCTCCACAGCGTTGAATTAACAACAATAATAATGGCTTTATTCTAAATAGTACTTTTGTTACAAATATAGAATTTCTTAGCCATGTATGCAAAACGACGTCTCACTTTCTCACTACACAGTACAGGGGTAATAATTCAATAGATTAAAATTTAGATGAAATTATTAACAACAATGAAAGAAAGAATAGAGAGGGCTGTTTTACGTATGGTTAGTCTTTTCGCGATGATTTATTAGTCACCTGTTGTTGCTTGACACTTCCCTTATCATACAAAATGTGTCTGTGTGTGCGCGCCTAATAGGGAATTGTAGAGTTTTTAAACTAATTTGTCTGTGCATGTAGTCTTCTAATTTTTTGCAGGAATACAACTGTCTATCTAAGATAGTACTAACGAGTTGGTTTAGTAACACTGTAATCGCCCTACTGACGGCTTTTACTGCTCTACGCAGTATAACAAAGTCTTTCTTAAGTTGCCCAGGAAAGATTAAAGGGGAACAGTGAAGATGTATAGACAGAATACAGGAATTAATAAACTGTAACAGCACGTAGAATGTCAAACTTAATATTTTTTCTGGAAACTAACATGATGTGGGGCGGGGGAAGAAGGAAAGGTGATCTGAAGAGGTACACAGTCCAAGGCATTTAACGTTAGCTTTGGTTTCAACTTCAAAGCCATCTATGATAATAGAGTCATGTACACGAACCAGTTCATTTAAGTTACACTTGCATAGGAAAGTGAACTTAACCAATTAACTGACATTTAGAGGAATTTAGCTTGATGCCATTTGACAGGGATCCCTGACTTATTTCTGTCAAATGTTATTCACCTTGGAACAACTAATTTCCAAATAACTTCATGATGAACACTGTTGATGGCCTTGATGAAGCCGCTAAAATTAAGATAGAGAATTTTCTTCCAGCCTCTGCTTAGCTCACCGATGATGTAAAACGTAGCAGTTCAGTCAGTGCATGGTTCTATTTTATATGAATAAAACCTATCGTGTGAAAAGTCTTCCATCCAAGACATTTTTAGTTCTCTTCAGATGAATATTGAATATAATGACATTTTATACAGAAAATGAAACTTAGAAGATTTAAAATTAGAATAAGTATTCCCTCCAACTCATAAATACTCAATCTTTTAAGCCTAACTGAACTAAAAAAATATTGGTCTCTGTCAGTTTATGAGCCTCTTAAAAGGGAAGAATTATTCTCTGATAACGACATCGGTTGATGAAGAAATAATTCACTTACCTGCTGGTTGCTGGGTTCAAGAGTCATGAGCACATGCAACTGATAAGTCTTGTTTCTTCCACCCTAAATGCTCAATACTGAGGACTGGATGGTAGGTAGGGAAAGATAAGAAACAAGGGACCCTAGCAATGAAATGTCAAAGAACGCATCGATCAACAGATGTGCATGAAGAAATGTAGGTGGTTTTCTTTATATAGAAACGGACACTGAGGAGATTGTGTGGGAAGTTAATGAATATTTATGGGTAATTGTGAAGTTAGCAAAAAATTTACTGCACAGAACCGGGTGAAGTGAAGATGTACTGCTGATTACTTACGATACATCATATTGTCACCCACCTCTACTCCAATGCATTCCCATTCTGCTTAGTTTAAAGCAGCACCGTCGATGGCTACATTTAAGCCTTTTTCAGTTCATCCACACTTGAATATTCATTTCTTTAGGCTTCAGGCAGTTATTACTTTACGCCTACTTTAATCCCATCAAAATGAATTGTGCCAACGGCTAATGTATTGAGTCGGTGGCACAGCGGTAGAATACTCACCAACCAAGCCTCATGTGGTCTGGGTTTCAATCCCTGGCCGACGCCACACTCCTTTACCTCGCTAAGGCAGTCATGAAACTGGTAAGCAGGGAAGGTGAGACATGGAAGCTAGCAAACCTATCCCGTAAAAGTAAGCACCACTGCTACTGAAACGTCAAGCCTCTAGCTTGGAGCCCTGTGTTCCACTGGGAACGTAAAGGAATACAAAACTTATCTAAAGAAGCAGACATATGAAGCTGATAAGATGCAGTCGTAATGAAACACGTATCTTACTTTTTATTATTAGTTTTTTTTATACCTTCACGTTCCCAGTAGAACACAGGGCTTCAAGCTAGAAGCTTGAAATTTCTGTAGCAGTAGTAATTATTTTTACAGGGTGGGGTTGCTAGCCTCATGCCTAACTTTTTCCCCTTTGTCAGCTTTTATTTCTGGCTGGCTCACAGAGGTAAAGGAGTGCGTCTGTGGTCGGGGATCAAACTCCGGACCATATGCGTGGTCGATGAGCGTCTTGACCGCTATGCCCCCACCGAAGCACATTATTAGTTACTTAGCTAACATAAAACGAATCCATATATACCACTGACTGATGAGTGGTGAGAGACATACATATCTAAGTGATCCAAATACCAGATGGCTATTTCTATAGTTTACGGTCGCATTCATCAACAGTGTACCCGATATGACTCAACAAAAAAAGACACAGCTGAATCATTTACACCCTCCATTGATTTCTGTCTAATCACATATAAGCGCATTGATAATACTGGCAAAAAATAAAAAATTGAAAATTTTGTGCAAATCGTGAATTTGATTTTTATAAAATTACACAACACATGACATCTGTTTCTCTCTCCCTCTCTCTCACTATATAAGTTACAAATTCCTAAGCAAAGTTATCTTCCTTTGTGTTCTTCAATGAACCGACATCATCTTACAGGATGATTTCTGAAAAACGGACCAACGCGTTTACGAACGCTGTCTGGCACATGTACACACGCTCACACACTCACACAAGCATACAACATATGTTGTCAATAATTTATTATTAGCATTTAAATTATTTTCAGCTTATATGAGTGTAACTTCGGTTTTTTATTTACTTTTTATAATTACCAATCAAGGTTCAATATTGACCTTATATTTACATATATATATATCTCGTTTTAATCTTTATTTGAAAAGACAGAGAGGGTAAAATGAAAATGGCGATATTCAACTGAAAAATATGTTAGAGCATGGTAGTTCGACTTTGGTTTTAGGCAGACATTCAAGCCACTAATGGTAATAGATCGTCTGACTTCAAAAAATTGTTATATTTGTGAAACTAGATGAAATCGGAGGTCCATCTTACTGTAGAGGTGTAGGGTTAACTTCCAGCTTTAGACTAGTGATTATCATATGAGTAGTGTTTTCAAACTAAAAGTGATGGCAATAAGTGGATTGTGGTCAAATGAATTTAAATTAGCTGGAATATCTATAAGCGTTATTCCTTTTGGTTCCGAGTGGAATATATGGCTTCAGCAGTCCCGTCTTCGGCAATCGTCTTCAGCTGACCCACTATCGCCAATAGACTATTATCTCCGCCTCACATGATCTCTTCCATAACCCCCCCGGCTCTCACCCTAGCCTAAATCATCGTCTCATATTTGGCTTCCCTTTGTCCACGACCGGGAATGTGGTGTCAATCAACGGTCTCCTCAATGTGTTTCCAATCCGTGTCTAACTTCGTCAGAATATTTGTTCGGTTTGCCATCTAATCTTCGCTATAGAGCCAGTGAAGACAGC